GCGACGAAAAAATCGTCAAAATAAAATGGGAAAAGTTTATGAATTCGACTAATACTGCAATATGGTTTCAGCATTTCACCGTTGTACGCTCTCCTTCTTTATACGCCCTTGATACTATGTAACACCGATAGATGAACCACAATGTCAGCGAAATACAAAATATACGTAACAAAATTAGTTTATTAGTAACAAAATAGCTCGTTTATTGTCACAATTAACTGCACTGATCAGGTAGAACACGTAAAAACTTTCAATATTTGTACTGCATTCCAGCACAAACAATTAGAAAGAGTGTTCTCGATTCTTGCAGGACGATATCACACGCTCTGCAGCAACATAACAGTCAAACCACACGGCTGACCCAAACTCGATGCTAGATCTCACTCATTCCAACCGATCTTTGACCGCGAACAACAACCCTGCTCGGAACATTTTCCTCATCTTTACCATACATGCCAAAATGGAAAATTACACAAAAAGACAACTTAAAGCGAGAAAGTACAATTTTGTTAAAAACTGTAAAAAACAAAAAACAAAGAGGTTCATCGAATGAGCATCAACAAACGTATCCGTAATTATCCGCTGGCAAGAGATGGCGAGAGAGCGCTGGCGAGATAGTTACAAATATTAGTCAATCTATAATTACACTTGTCTAGCGATATTGAGTTAAACAAGGAAAAGCTCAGAATTTTCAATAACTGCAAGATTAAAATGTTTAGTTAAGACAATTCCATGAAAAGTAAATGAACACTATTGTAAATTGTGAATTAGGCCAAAACAAAATATAGGTGTGGTTACCGTTTCCCGACCGACCCTAAACATTTTATTGTCAATTTTCTTTAAAGTAAAAAAAAAATTTAAAAAAAATGAATTGGACAGTTCCTGCTTCAAAAGGCACAACGCACATCCTTCGAACATGGTTCGTAAATAAAATGTTTCAATAAAATAAAATGTTTTCCCTACCTACCTACCCTATTTTTTTTCGGCATGAAACGGTAACCACACATATATTTTGTTTTGGCCTTAGCTGCACGTGAGTAACTTTAAAAGTAATTCTGGTTATTACATAAAAGATTCGACGCAGAACCGAACATACGTACCAAGAATAAAACTGAGAACAGATATTGATAGCGCTAACTGAACGACACGCTTTATATACACAATGGAAAACTACCACCGGAGAACATTATAAAATCCTGGTATTCCCTCTTGGACAGTTCTTATATTACAACACGGTAAATGCCACGTCGCTGCACCTCGGCGATCGCGCGACGCGGCATCTCGCGCGACGAAACACGCACCGACGCGCGACCCAACCGCCAATTTCTACGACACGATTTACACGCGACGCGGAAAACGACGTCGGAGCAAGGACGTCGCGACGCTCTCTCCCTAATCGAACGGCTCGTCGCTCGATTCCAGCGAGTTCAGTGCCGGCGCAAACTCGACCACGCTGCCGTACGCGTTCCGCGGCGGCGCCCCCTGCTGGTGCTGCGCCGCCGCCGCCGCCGTGGGAACCTCGTGCGGGCGCGGCGCGAGCAGGCCCGACTGCGCGCGGTAAACGATGCCCTGAATGCGGAACTTGGCGAGCCGTCGCATCGGCAGGCTCGCGATCGATCGCAGCTGCAGCGCGACGAGGTTGCCGAACACAGTCTCCTCGTCCTCCTCCTCCTCCGCCGCCCGCCGCCGGGGATGCCGCGCCGCCGCCGCCTCCCCCGCGTCGCTTCTCCGCCGCCGCGGCCGCGCGATGCGGGCGACGGTGGTCGTGAACGACGCGGGGGCGGCGGCGGCGGAAGCTCGGTCGTAGTGGTCGAACGACGCGGGGGCGGCGGCGGCGGGAGCTAGGTCGCGGTGGTCGAACGACGGCGACTCGCGCTCCGCGATGTCGCGGAGCGCGGCGATCGCCGCAGCTTCCTCGTCCTCGTCCTCGTTGCCGTCGGCGACGACGTCGAGGGTGTCCTCGGCCGGAGCGTCGACCTGCGGGGTCACGATCACGGATTACGCTCGCGCTTCTCGAACTTCTCGTGCTTTTTTTGGCCTCGTGCTTTCTTTTTTTGTGCGTTTGGATTTGCAATGTACGTACACCGATTGTGCGTAATGTGTAATGTTCCGCCGTTAACATGGCAGTTATGTTCCCGATAACTTTAAATGAAGTGCTCTGCCGTTTGATCGCGTTTCCAACAAAGATAGCTTAGTAACGTAGTTGAGAAAATTAACAACAAATTAACAGCCATATTTAACAGAACTCGAGAAAACGAGAATGCACTTTAGCACATTGTCGAAAATTAATTTGGTCTAAATGGATACAGGCTCGGTAAAAAATATTAACGCCCAACCTCTATGTCTTCGAACGACAATGGCAGCGACGATCTATTTGCTCTAGGAATCATGTGACTGTCCAGGAATGCCAGCTGGTCCATGAAACGCCACACCCTAAACGGCACGCCGGTTATCTCACTTTGTCGTAGCTTTTGCTTTTCACGCATATACTGCGCTCGTATGCTCTTGATTTTCTTGTATATTTGGTCTTCTGCAAATGAACAACACAATTTATAACCTGGTAATAATGATGCACCCCGTTATTTTAGTAAGATTTACCGCGAAAGATTTAGTTTATTCTAGTTTTATTTCTGAAAATTCTCACACGGTGTTCATTTTATTTCATTATCTGAGCAATTATTTAATTTCAATCCATAACCTAGAGTTGCGTATGCCACCTATGAGACCACGTTTGACGCTGTACCGCCTGTACGCAACTGGTCTTAGTCAATTTGAAAAAAACTGAACACTAGTGTACCATATAAACGACATTTTAGGAGTAGGCCTACCTGTGACGTTCAATTCTTCCGCGATGTTGCTGACTACGCTCCTTCGCAAGATCCGATTATGATAGCCAGCGCTTCTCACATCATACAAGCACGGATTTTGCTCATACAGTTCGATGAACGGCTCCGTCCAGTTGAAATCTTCCGTCACGGTTGCGTATACGTACATGGGAGTAAATGTTGTAGTAGTGAGGAGGCTACCAACAAGATTTCCTTCCGATTTGCTGCTTGTCAAAATGTTGGACGCGAGCGAGCAAAAAAGGCGGAGCGGTACGTAACTTCGGGATAAAAATTTGCACGCGCATACTTCGCCGTGCATGGGAAAATGGTGCCGATATTTAGCGCGTAGTTTTAGCATACAACACGTGCACGTGATGGGTTTTACATGCATCAAGTTTGGTGAACATAAATTCTACATGTTAGCAACAGGATGTCACCAGAGATCATCTGGATATCCTTATGCCAGTGCTGCAAAATCTATACATAACTACAATTACTAGTACTAGTAGTGAACTATATACAGAATTACTAGTTAGTGACACTTACCTCCACCAAAGCCTCTTCCCTTCCGTCGTTTCGCCTTCTCCTTTAACTTCTGTACACCCTCTGAAAGGAAAACAAAACAAAAACGAAAATAAACAAGAGGCCAATGGCATTTCGTGTAAACGTTTTGCAAAATTTTGTGACTAAATAAATTAAAAAATTTATTATAAATATATTATTTATATATATATATATATATATATATATATTTATATATAAATATATATATATATTTTATATATTATAAAAATATCATGTAAGTAAAAACCAATTATATAAGTAATGAGATAACATAGGCAATGTCATTTCCTCCACACTATGCTCCATGCCTTTTTGCTTGTGATTACATCTGATACAGTAGGTGGTGACAAGTATTATAACTTGATACAGCTTTGTGTGGCAGCTCTAAACATAATGCAGAAATCACGAAACACTTTGTTTCAATGAGCGTAGCTAACCCATTTTGCCTGGGGGGGGGACGCAAAGCCATTTGCATGTGTTCTGGGTAGGTGACTGCCATTGACCATGTATTGTATAGATATACATTTCTCTGGGGGGGGCGGCGGTACTGCCTTCCTAGACCCCCCAAGTGGCTATGATCCTGGTTTCTCAGCCAAAGATTTCATTAATCCTGCTCAATCCTAGGGACCCGGCCCTTATTTTCGCAAATGTGCTAAACTAGAATTGGGACATTAATCCCAATGTGCACATACATTACAAGAGTCAACTATTGGGATATTTAAAAAGGACAGAGGAAATATTTTGATACATCCCACGAAATTATGAGATCATGTGTTTTAATGAACGAAAATCCAAACAAGAACACGCTACATTTTCCCCTTTTCTTCCTGTGCCAAGAGTTCCAGATTAGACATGTGTCACATACAATACTGCTGGGTACGATCGGGTCGTAAACTAATAAATTACTACAATTTTGGCATCAATAAGCCGGTCAATTAAGTTGTGGTGAGTGCAAAATTAATAAATTCCGGCCAAATTTGGAAAAAAACAAAACACTTGCAGGGGTCGAAATTCACTATATATAGTGATTTCGCAACACAAGTGTTTTTCACCGAACTCAAGCGATGTTTTGTAGCAACTTGCGGCTGCCGCAAGTCAACAATATGCCAGCTACTTACATATTTGTTAATAGAAGTCAGACCCATTTTATTTAGATTTCTGTCAGTTTGACAAGATGACAGTCACACTGACTCTGAATCAGAGCAGGAAGACACAGAAGATATAGAATAAATCATAAACTAAATACAGTGGCTATGCGTCCGGAACCGGTCGCCTAGCCTCCAGGCTATGCATCCGGAACCGGTCGCCTAGCCTCCAGGCTATGCATCCGGACATCCACTGACACAGTGATCGCGCGACTTGCGTACACGCATGATTGCGCAACGGGACGCTCTGCTGATTGCCGTAAATATACAAATTACAATATATGCACTGCTGCCGTCTATCCTTTCATCCGTCCGCTCTCGCTCTCTCTCTCTTTCACACACACATGCACAGCTCTCTCTCTCTCTCACACACACACCTCTAGCTCTCTCTCTCTCTCTCTCTCACACACACACATACACACACCTCTTGCTCTCTCTCTCTCTCACGCATACACACACACATACACATTCCCTCTCTCTCTCTCTCTCACTCTCTCACGCACACACACACATGCGGAAACCAGCAGAGCGTCCCGTTGCGCAATCATGCGTGTACGTGTCGCAAGATCACTGTGTGAGATGGATGTCCGGACGCTTAGCCTAGCGGCTCCTCATCCGGAACTGGTCGCTTAGCCACGGCCTAAACTAAAACAGGGAGGAAGGGAAGGGGTACTGCCAGTTTGGAGAGCAACAGATGTAAGTGCAAGTAAAAATTTCTTGGCGCAAGTAATTGTTTAACCTAACTTGCAACGTGCGCAAGTGTTGTTTTTTTTAGCGAATTTCGACCCATGACTTGTAGCTGCACTAAGGGGCTGTAGGCTGTAGGGCTTTTAAGCGTCTCCGGCACAGGAACTTGGACCGTTTCAATAATAAAATGATGGTTAATAAATACAACTTGTCAGTAGCCTACTACTACAGTACCAGCAATAGTCTTAATGTTTGATTTGACCTAATAACTTCACTTCAACACCGTTCAATACACCGCTGCAACACATAGCCCGCACGCCATTGTGCATGCACAAATACACAGTAGATAGGAGTACTCCTATCTACTGTGTATTTGT